TTTCAGTTTCTTTTTAATTTCAGAGTTGCATAATTCTTTTTTCAATATTACATGTGATTCTAGATTATTTATTTATTTATTTGAGATTTCTTGTTCAAATTTGTTTTAATTCTTCCACTAAAATTTAAAGAAATTTCGACTTTTTTTTACTTGGCTTAATTTTTCTTCTAAATCTATGCCAACTCAATGAATATTGTATCATATAAACTTATAATTAACGAATTTCAATATTAACCGACAAAAATGATATAATCGGAAACTCTTAATCTAAAAGAGGTTAAATCAAAACTTTTCAACCATAGAGTAGGAAATAAGTTTAAAAAAAAAGTACTAAAACCTTGTTTACTAAATTATATATTCAGCCTATTATATATGATCAATTACAATATAGTTCAAAGTTGATATTATTTTAGATAAATGTGCAAATTTACTTCTGGAATCAAATTAAACATCGTGTTTGGGAGTGATTTTGACATGGCAAAATAACTTTCATTTGCATTGATCATGTTTGACAAATTAAAATTTTGATTTTATAACATAAAATCACTTAAAATTCAATTTTAAGTATCACCTAGGTGACGATTTTGGAAAATCAATTATTCTTAAATCTCTTATTCCAATATTACTCCTTTTACCATCACTCTCAACTGGTTATAGCATATATTCCAATAAAAATAGGTCGTGTAAAATCCCACCCATATATTGTTTTTTACTAAAAAAAATATCAGATAGTAAATAATCTAAAACATGTCTTTTCCACCACGAGATAGGTTGAACTAAATAAAAAAAATTAAAATGACCCATATTTAAATATAAAATAACCAAGAAAAATATCTCTCTCTAATTTATAATACATTTCTTTAAAAATTCATCGACTATTAAAAATGTTTTTACTTAGCCTCTAACAACTCTCCACCAATTAAAGACCACCAACCCATAATATACCTAAATTATACCTAAATTTTTTTTTTTTGGCTTAAACGTGACTTACGTTTATCAATTTTTTCTTTTCATTCGGGCCTTCATCTTTTATTAATTTTATATTTTTATCCTATAAAATTCGTTAATATTTCAGTATTGATAAGAAAAAGAAAATTACATCACATTTTTATTGACTTGGATAAAACGTCATCTTTAGATAACAAAGGGAGGTGAGAGACTCAAACTCATGATCTTTTGGTCAAAAAGAGGTGCCAATTACGGTTGAACTAAATTCATGTGGGTAGATATAACGCTTTTAGGGAAAAATACACTTTTGGTCACTGGTGTCTATTTAGTCGTTAAAGTTTCAAAATTGAAACTTTTGGTTCATGAAGTTTGAGATAGGTATCTATCGAGTCCTGAAATTTCAAAATGAACACGTTTGGTACCTAAAGTTTGAGAATTGGTTCAAAATAGTCATTTGATTGTTTGTGGCGGACTTAATATTAAAATGACATGGTATTTAAATTGATGGCTGTATTTTTACAAAGATTAATTGAATAATTTTTTTTTAATGACTAGACTTCTCTCTCTCAAATTAATTTAGTAATTTCTCGTAGCCCTGATTCCTTGGTGATTTTATTTTACTACTGCAAACCCTTTCTGTAATATTTGTTTAATCGAGCCCTAATTACTAAAACAAACAACAAATTAATGGTTGGAGCTGGATTTGTAAAGGAATGAAATTGGGAGGAGAGGGGCATTTTGGGGAAGACGAAGGTTGGGTGGAATGTATGGCATCAAAATTGAGTTGAGTGCTCAAATAAATAAATCACAAGAGAAAAATATGTTATCCCCTCTTGAATTGATTCACGAGGTTAGCTTCTCCTGAATTCTGGTATGGTCCAAGTGTTTTTGTTAATTTTGCATAATTCCTGTATGGTCCATGTGTCTATATGCTATTGGACCATACATGAATTCAGGAGAAACTCCAGGAAGTTTTTTTCGAAAAAAATCAGAGGCTTTATGATATGTGCTTTAAATATTATTTTGATATGGGGAACTTGGTAAATTTATTATGTTTAATCCCAAAAATTTAAAGATTCTATTTTAGCCATTTAACTTTCAGTTAATTTATTTTAATTTTTAATTGCATAAAATTTAGTTTAGTGAGATGGATGTTAAAAGGTTAAAATACTATTTTGGTCCCTATATTTTTAGTCTTGATTTATTTTATTCTCTGTATTTTGAAAATGTTCATTTTGATCCCTGTACTTTTAAAAAGTGATAATTTTAGTCCTTCTTTGCAAAATTTTAATACGAATTTTACAAATTACGGAAACTCTTTAGAATAAAGTAATATTTACATTTTAAGAAATATATTAGTTATAGTATCGTGTTGAAATTGTGATAGAAAAATGAGATTAAGAATAAAATTAAGGGACCAAAATGGACGCTTTTAAAAAAATACAAGAACTAAAATGAACCACCAAAGTTGAAAGTATAAAGGACCAAAATGAACATTTTAAAAGTATATACTGAAAGTACAGGAATCAAATTAGTATTCTAATCATGTTAAAATGAGGTGACAGTCACTAAAGAGACTCAAAATTTCTTCCTATTTCTAATCAATTAGAAACGAAACTTGTATCTCTTAGGGGACATTTTTCTCTTTTAAATTTAGCTAATTCACATTATTTCAAGTAAGTTTATCATCACTTTATTTTAATATTTATCAAGAGTGAACGACTACATTGAAAAATGTTAAAACACATAAAGGACTAAGTTAAACTTTTTAATCTATAGGGACTAAATTGAAAAAACACTCAAACATTAGGGACTACGATATATATTTAAGTCTCCATTTTACTACCATATAAATGTGTCATACATAGTAACCTGTATTTTAATTGTGTATATGCATATATATATAATAGGTAGGAAACAACTTATTGTTTCTAAATTAAGAAAAATATCTTATAAAAAATTAATTAAGAAAAATATGCTAAATAAAAGATATGCATGGCTTATGGTGTTTGGTATAGCTTTCATATGGCTTACTACTTTTTTTTTAAATCTACATTATGTCTTGACAATAAATAAGTATTAACAATTAAAATGATTGAAAAATAATTTTTGAAGAAACATTGAAAGATATCATTCAAAAAGCAACTTTAACGCGATGGACTGAAAACCCCTTCAAAATATATAGTGAGAAAGAAAATAGATATTTGTGATTATTAGGATATACAAAAAAAAATTGTTATTATAAATAACTTTAAAAAAAATGTAATCAAATGCGAAATTCAAAATATTTTAAGAAAAAATATTTATAATAAAGCGTCAATCAAGTAAACTTGTAAATAGGAAAACATTTATTAATAAAAAATTATTTATAATTGAAGAAAAATTATTTTCTTTTTCTAAGAATTCAATGTTACCCCTCTAAAGAAAATTTAATGTTACACAATTATGAATATTCTAATCCATTCAAATCATATGAGCTTTCGACCATTAAAATGAGAATACGCCACTCTAGATAAATCTAATTAATTTGGAATATGCTATTTAATTATGATTTAAACATTATCCACCTAACTCTTAAATTTATTATAAAAGTTTATCATAATTTTAAAATTCAATAAAACAAATATACTCATTGCATGTTTCCAAATTTTATTGTTTCCCCTGCCCCAATGGAGGGAATTTTCTTTATTATCATTTAAAAAATTGAGGACATAGGTGATTTACCATCTTATTCGGATGAAGCAGATTAATTCAATTGAGTCAGGTTGGCTCGTCCTGGTCAAGCCCAATATGATCAAATTGTCTCAAGTATTTAGCTTGTATCTACTCCAATGTAGAAGGTTCAAAGTTGATGTAACGAAAAAGTAAAGAAAATAACAACACTCGCCACCGCTAATTTCAAACAAACTTTTAATAGCAAAATTTAACTTTAAAGTTTATTGGTTTAAACTTGGATTTCGTTTACCAATTTTTTTTTCTTTCTTTATTTTCAACTTTTGTTTCTTTTATATTTTTATCTTTTTAACCTCTAAGATTTTATTATTATTATTGATGATCTTCAATCTTTTATTATTTAGTTCTTTCCCGAAAGAATAAAATGTGAATGTGACATATGATAATAACGTGACATTTGATAATAACAAAAGATTCTACAATTCTTTCAATCATTTTTTTTAGCAAGTACACATGTCTAATAACTTAAATATTGTATTTATGTTGTAAATAAATGTACAATTTATAAAAGTTGGAGCGCTAAAATTGATATTTCAAAAAATTAAAGAACCAAAATTAAAAGTATGAACCAAAGTCAAATATTCTAAATTTTAGGGGCAAGAATAATAATAGCAGTTAAACTAAAATTACTAAAAATGTAGAGTTAAACATGTTATATATATCATATGCACTAAAAAAAGTATGTAATAAACTTATATTTATTAATGATTAAATTTTGAAATTAACTAGTTAGAATGAAACTGACAATAAATTTTAGCAATTGAATTTATGTTTTTATTCCTCCTAAATTTCATAAAAGTAAACTTTATATTACAAAATAAAATAATGCAGAGCATCCTATAAAAGTGGCTTTATTATGTTTAAAAAAGAGAAAGTATCTTTATTAATTTAAAATCAAAATAAAATGATTCCAATCACAAAAGGTTTCAAAACTTTGAGAAAATGTCTAATTTTAGCTTAGGTCTATTTTTAGTATTTTCTTTTTTGCTAGACTTTAAAAATGTGTATTTTAATCTCTTATAAATTTAAAACTATTTTATAATTTGTAGTTGTATTATTCTACTACCCTTTTTAAAAAAGAAAAAATCTACGAAAACAAAGCAAGTTTGTACCATTGCTGTAGTAATTTTACCATTCAATGTAATTTCTGAGTGAGAAAAAAAAAAGATATTTTAACAAAAATAGATATTTTAAATTGGGAGGATTGAAGTCTTAAAATAGATATTTAGAAATCTAAAGGACTAATTTAGGGTTGAAAAATAGAATAAAAATAAAAGGTTAAAAATACCAAAATAGAATGTTAAAATTGTCTTTTCACCTGTGATTATAGACTTGTAAAGTCCGTCTTCCACTCCAACCACTGCCATTTCTACCGGATCCACTCAGTTTTCGATTCCATTCTCCGGCGAAGCCATGAATTCCATGCTTACACTCACCGTGGCGGCCTTAGCAGCCGTCGTCGCCATCGTTTTCTCCCTCCAAAGCCCACTCCTCAAGCTTAATCAGTTTCTAGCCCCGCCGCAGATTGCCGGAACCCACGATTTTCTCCATTCCGCCACCGTCCTCCCGCTCACCGGCGCCGTCGGTCCCGAGAGCCTGGTTTTTGATCCTAACGGTGAAGGCCCCTACACCGGCGTCGCCGACGGCCGGATTCTCAAGTGGCAAGGCGATGGCCGCGGCTGGACCGATTTCGCCGTCACCAGCTCTCAGAGGTATAATTCTGTTTTCTTGCGTTATTCTGTTTGGCCTTGATCGTATATATCTTTAATTCGATATGAATGAGTTTTGTTCAACCGATGAAGGAAATCAAAAACGTTTTAGGAATTAGGACAGCGATTTACCAATTCTTTCGGTACCTCTTACTGCTATATATTATGTAACATCATCAGTGCAACTTGTGATTTTTTTATTGAGCAGGACTGGATTGAATTAATGTAAAATATTTAGGCGATGACTGATTAATCAATCACTAGTTTTTTTTTTTTACTTGAAAATGGTGAATATAAATATGTGGAAGGAAGAGGTTTCGGTTGAACTTTTAAAGGATTTGTAAGATTACTTGGTTTGAAGAACTGATTATCCGATTCTCTGATATTCTTCTCTTGCATCCTAAATATCTTAACCTATTGAATTGGATGTCAAACTGGTGAGGCACCATTTTAAAGGCAAATTCATCGACTATTTCTAGTTGTGCTTGTATGGATCGATCGTCTTGAAAATCGGTGTGGAAATGGAGAACTATCTAGGGTTCAAATCCCTCTCTCGTTTGCTTGGTGAATAGATTTTTTTCTTTCTTCTGTTGGTTTGGTTTTGCCCAGCTCAGTATCACAAAAGGACATATCATTAATTGTCCTTGACCATTTCTATAATTAGCAAGCTTCTTCCTGATGCCTCAACGACCTGAAGATATCTCAGGGAGACTAGGAGTGGATTAACAGTATGAGACGATGTATTGAAACCGTCTCTTACGCCTAAGGAGAGCAGAATCGTGTTCTCTGTAGAATTTGAGCTGATGAAGTTGACGTTTGAAGTACTTAACCTTTCTGTCTTACAAATTTCACTCTATTGCTCATATTGGTACTGTTGGAATGTCTGTTTTAGATGTGCATGTGCTGTGCTCACTGGATAGAGGACTGTGCATAGATTGTTTGTCGAATGTTATTCATTTCTTGGGTTCACATGTTGATTCAGTTTGTTTTATGTTCTTGAAGGAGCGAGTGTGTTCGCCCGTTTGCACTTGAGTTGGAGCATGTTTGCGGGAGGCCATTAGGACTGCGTTTCCATAAGAAAACTGGGGATCTCTACATTGCTGATGCCTATCTCGGCCTTCATGTGGTCGGACCTGCTGGTGGTTTGGCGACCAAACTCGTGACAGAATTCGAAGGCAAGCCACTTCTCTTCACAAATGATCTTGATATTGATGCAGTCGCAGATGTGATATACTTTACTGACAGTAGCACGGTTTTTCAAAGAAGGTAATTCAGATCGTAAAGCACATTCATTCCTCATTTTAGTAAGTGTTCTTAAAGGATAAGTTCTGATGAAAGAATCTGATAAAAACTATCTGATGAACATAAGCTAATTGATTTTCTGGTTCCTGAGTTCTTTTGTTCTGCATAACTGAATCAATATGTTTATAATGTCATTAATCATCTCTATTTGAACATTCTCATGAAGACCGTTAAATCGCTTAAATACTGTTGCCTTTAACCTTAAACTTTGCTGAATTTGCAGGCAGTTCATGGCGTCGATCTTGAGCGGAGATAAGACGGGAAGGTTATTTAAGTACCATCTAGCGAGTAAACAAGTTACGCTTTTACAAGAAGGCCTTGCTTTTGCCAATGGTGTTTCATTAAGCAAAGACAATTCGTATGTGCTAGTTGTTGAGTCCATCACAGGCAGGATCCTTAGACATTGGCTTCGAGGTTCTGAGGCGGGAAACGTCGAGGTTCTCGCACAGCTTCCAGGGTTCCCCGACAACATTAGAAGAAACAGGAGAGGCGAATATTGGATCGCTTTGCACTCGAAGAAAGGAGTTGTTGGGAACTTGGTTACTTCAACCTCTTGGTTTGGGAATCTTCTGTTGAAGCTTCCTTTTGACTTCAAGAAATTGCATGGGTTGCTTGTGGGAGGGAAGCCCCATGCAACTGCCGTCAAGTTGAGCGGGGAAGGAGTGCTTTTGGAGATTTTGGAAGACTGTGAAGGCAAGACTTTGAAATTCATTAGTGAAGTGGAAGAGAGGGATGGGAAGCTTTGGTTCGGGTCGGTTCTAATGCCGTTCGTGGGCGTTTACGAACCAAAGTAAGTAAGGTTGTCCAAAGCTATTTCTCAAGATACCGTTAATTAAGGTCGTCCAAAGCTACTTCTCGAGATACCATTCGGGTATATAGTTCACTCTTGCTTCTGGTAGTTTTAGTTTTCCTTCTAGATGATCATAAAATGGAGCGAAAGAAGCTCTTGTCGATCTAACTTTTGGTTAATATATTTGGATTTTGAATCTTTCTTCAATTTTTTCTTGTTTTTGTTTTTTGATTGATTGTTTGGTTTAGGTTTTGAACATATAATTGTGGATTTTTTTTTTTTTTTAACATTTAGTCATTCTGAGTTTTTAATCTTATTTAACTTTCAGGTTTATCTGATTTTCAAAATATTGAGATAAAAGGACTTTTTTTTCTTTTGAATAAAGGATAAATCTAACATAAAATAAATAAATAAATAGATCAAACTTATTTTATACTTTCTTTCATTCTTAAATTGAAAGACCAAATAAAATAATTTTTCTTCCTAAAATAAATTAATATTTTAAAAGGATCATTTTGCAATTCAGAACATTTTGGAATCTTTGGATACTATAAAATAGAGATGGTTGAACACACGACCTACGAACCAATTTCGTCAGGCACGTTAATTTTGACTAATCATATCTTTAATATTATTGGTAATTGCAAGTTGTTAGTAACATTTGAGAAACAAAAATGTTTTGGTAAGTTTCTCCTTTTAATAAAATATTTTCAAAATTATGTAGAAATTTAGAGCAACAAAATTATGTTTATTATTTATTGTTCTTGAATATTTTTTCCAAAACATAGATAAAAACATTATTTTATTATTTTTATGTTAAAAATGTATAATAAAAATAAAAAAAATTAAATTTTAAAGAACAAAAAATAAGAAATGGTTAAGCATACTTCTATATATTTTTTTTTCAATAATTAAAAATAAAACCAGTTATCAAACGTAGTTTTTTTTAATTGAAAAAAGAAAACAAGAAATAAGAAACATAAATGTTACCACCAAACGAGCTTTTAAAATCCTTTTTCTTTTATTTTCAAATAAGACTTCATGAGGTGTAATTCTAGTCCTATAAACTTTATTAACATCGAATTTGAAGTAATAACTCAATCAAGATAACAACTTGCATAGAAATCTCGTCACACATACTTTAATACTTGAATCAGTAATTATATCGGACTTGAAACAATAAAGCCACCACGTGAGGAGGAGGCATTTTCCTCGCCCACAACAAGAAGGTTTTCTTTTCCTTTGAGATTCCCACATAAGAATTTTAATAGAACAAGAGATGTTCATTGTAATCGCGTCCGGATACTCCGAAAACATGAAAAACAAACTTAACAAACCCAAAAATATCTTCCTTGTTAAACTTCAAAACTTATAAATATTGAAAAAATTAAAATAACATACAGCTTTTAGAATATTTCATGTTTCCAGTATTTTCAAAATTTGAATTTAACATTTTAAAAATACAGAATAATATTAAAAATGATAAAACTTGGATGAAATAGCTATTTCATGGTACAATCTCATTTATTTTTCTGTCAAAATTAAGAAATGAAAAATATAATATACTACAAATTATATAATATTGTAAAATAATAATTCAACAAAACTTATAGCATAAAAGTTAATAAATAAAATAATATTATTTTAAATTAAAATAAATATTTAATCGATAACTATGGCCAGTTTACAAATATATCATTAATCCTTGAAAAACTTTTTAAATTGATATTCAATTTCTAAATCTATTACCAAATATGTTAAAACCACAAAACACAATTTTGTTTTTTATTGATTTTTTTTATTCATTTTTTACTAAATAAATAAAAACAATAAATAAGAAACAGTTATCTGAGGAAGAAATAAAAAAAAAATCAATGAACGCACCCTAAAATATTAATAATTTAGATTTTAGTAAAAGACTAAAATAACCCCCATCTCGGATTGTAAGGAGTTAGGGCGATTCTCAAGAATTAAATTACAAAATTGCCATTGCATTGGTGTTAAAAATAAATAAATAAATAAATAAAACTCACGCATATCACACATCTCTGAAATTCGGTTTCTCTCGTCTCTCTGCAGCAGAAGCCATGAACTCCAGCCTCTGCCTCACCGCAACCGCAGTCGCAGCCGTCTTCGCCCTACTGGCAGTCACCACCACCAGATTTTCGCCGCCGCCGGAGTACCTCGATCATCGGAAAACTGAATATGCAGTGATCCACGGTGGCGTCGGACCGGAAAGCTTCGCCTTCGACGCAGGCGGCGGCGGGCCTTACACCGGCGTCTCCGACGGCCGAATTATCAAATGGCTGCCGGAAGAACGGAGGTGGATCGATTTCGCCGTCACCTCTCCGAACAGGTCATTTCGATGATTTTTAAATTATTTATGCCTTTTTATTTTATTAGTCAAATGCACGATGAGTTTTATTTTTAAAACTGGCACCCAAAGCTAGCTGGCTTGGATTAGATTGATAATTACTTTATTTTTAATTTTCTACTTTTAAATTATTTCATTTTAAAAAGCTCTTTTAATCTTTAATTAAACTCCAGAAACAAAAATTAAATATTTTAAAAAGTAGATAGCACGTGAAGAAAACATGGGTAGAAATAATGTTTATGGAACCTCATTTTCAAAAAAGAAAAAAAAAGTGATTAGCAAATGGAAACTTAAATATTAAGATGAATATTTTTTTTTCTAAAGCTTATTTTAATTCTTCAAATTTTAGTTAATAATTTTTTTTTAAATACAACATTGTAATGGTAGAGATGGTTTGGCATTCTGATTTTCCACGTTGGTGCTTATGTTTATGTCAGCAAATTCAAATAATTTTTTTTTAGAAACTATTTTTGTTTTTCTGATTTGAGATTCTTTTAATAATTTTTTTTCTCTACAAATGTCAAGGAAAATACTGCTATTATATTAGGGGGTTGTAATTCTTCATTGTAAATATTATTTATTAACCATAAAATTAACTGAAATTAATAAACCAAAGTATAAAAATAAAGTTAATTTAATATGTCGCAAAATGAATAATTCAATGATTAAAGTTATTAATAATCTCGAAATAAATAATTTAACTTAAAATGTGTGCGAGTGATTGGGACAAGAAACTATTCATATGATTGAGAAATTTCAAAAAAAAAATGCATTATTTTTTTTTTTGAGCCATAGAAAAAAATGCATTATTGAGAAGTAGGAAGTTTCTTTAAATTTTCTTTTTCTTAATTATTTCTTTTTATTTTAAGCTGAAATGATAGAGTAGGAACAGCTTCAAGGATAGTAGAGGAATTTCATATTTAAAGTTAATTTGGTAATGAGAATAAATGAATAAATAAGGATGAGTTGGGACTTATGAAAAATTTTCCTTTATTTTCCAATTTTTTGTTATTGCGTGCTGGTTGGTTTACATAACGATAGAAATTTTTATATATAGTTAATTACGATTATACCCCTGATCCTGGTAGACTATGCATGAACTCCACGTGTAAGCTTTGGCTCTCTGCTGTTTGTCATTTTTCTTAATTCATCACATATTTTTATGTGGTGATATTTCCTAGATTGGTTCCGCAATTATAAATTTTGCAGACAAATTAAAATGTTTACTATAATTTTTTAAAATTAAAATTAAAAAATATATCAATGTTGTTTACCAAACTATCTGGAATTGGAATAAGATACATATATGTCTTTCTTATTTTAGGTAATTATAAATATATTAACTACAAATTGTTGTGCTAATATTATTTTTAATTAAAATATTAAGAAATTTAAATCTATCTTATTTATAGTAAATTTTTTTGCTGCGTATTAAAAATACATTTCATTAATCGTATCTATTTAATTTTTGAATTTGAAAAAATTAAAACATTTTTAACTACATAGTTAAACACTGGGATTGTGATTCTAATTATTTCTTACCATTAATGTTATTAACTAAATAATTAAATGACATTATAGAAAATAGAAAGACATTAATTTGACATGAAGTGGTAGAAAAGAAAAAGATAGTTAGAACAAAATAAAATTATCATCAAGTTTATTTTTATATATTAATTCAAGCGTAGTTACTCAGATATAATAATTATCTAATTTCTAACAAGTAAAAAAAAGGAAAAAAAATTTACTTATTTTTTACCGTGCTAAATAAGCTTCCATTTGTTCTGAGCCTAGCACAATTTGTTATTTTAGAATTAGAGATGTAATCTAAGAGGTAATTTATTAGATTAGTTGATGAACAATTTTTTAATTTAGTCCTATTAATTTTATTACTAATTCTAAATCAAGATTGAATATTCCAATATGAGCCAAGTAAAAAGACAAAAAAAGAAAAAAAAAATCTTTAAACTTAATTAGGTATTCAAGAGCTTGCAAAGAAAAAAAAGAGGGAACTTAAGAGTACTTTTTAACAATATTAAACCACGAACCTTTTTTTTTTTAAGTAAAACTTAATGTTTGAAAAAAAAAACGAGAACATGATGAAATTATTATTATTTTTTTTTTGGTTGTAAAATGTTAGAATTGGGAAAAATATTTAATTGGAGAGATGAAATTGAGAAAAAGGAATTATGATGGAATAACAGAACAGGGTGTGAAGAGAGAGAGAATGCGGAGGAGGGAGAGGAGAGGTGCGGGAGGGCATTAGGGCTCCGCTTCGGCGGCGGCGGCGATCTGTACATCGCCGACGCCTACAGGGGGCTGCTTCGCGTCGGCGGCGACGGCGGTTTGGCCACCAGAATTGAAATTCAAAGGGAGGTGCTGCAGGGGTTTGATTGTATTTTCACATTCGCCAACGCTTTGGACGTTGATGAAGCTTCTGGACATATCTATTTTACCATTACCTCTTCCCAATATCCAAGAAGGTTCTCTCTCTCCCATCCAAACTCTACCAAAAAAAAGGTCAAATTTTTTTAAATTTTTCTTTATTTTAATCTATGCTTCATCACAAAACTATTTTGTTTTTTAAAATGTAAGTTTATAAAACAAAACGTTGTGTTTAAAGAAAATGAGATGGGGAGAAATTAAAGTGTAATTTTTAGAAATAGAAAATTAAAAACGAAATTGTTATTAAACGGACATGTATTTTCGAGAATTTAGTTAAGATTAGGTTTCGGATGTCAATATTAGGTATTCACGTATATGTATTTTCATGTATAGCATTGAACTCTTTAGTTTAACGGATGAAAATGTTAGTTTAGCGGTTTAAATTTCGTATGTTAATTAAGCAGTATTTGAGTGACATGTTGGTTCAAATCTGTTAAAACAATAATTTAATCGTCTATCAATTTTTTTTTAACAAATTTTATGTCGGGAGAATTTTAACCCATTAAAGATAAGATTGAGATTTTTGAAAGGTAAATGACTAAATTGAGAATTATTGTATCTAAAAGCTTCTTTGTTGTATAGGAATTTTGTTTCTGCAGTATTAAGTGGAGACCATTCAGGAAAGCTAATGAAGTATGATCCTGAAAGCAAAGAACTAAACCTCCTTTTAGATAACCTCTCATTTCCGAACGGAGTCTCATTGAGCAAAAATAGCGACTTCCTTCTACTTGCAGAGACGACCAAATGCAGAATTCTGAAGTATTGGCTAAAGACACCGAAAATCGGCAGCTACGAAGTCGTGGCCGAGCTCCCAGGGTTTCCCGACAACATCAAACCGAGTCCTCGAGGCGGGTTTTGGGTGGGGATTCACTCGAGAAGACGAGGGTTGTCGAGGGTGATCATGTCATGGCCTTGGATTGGGAAGGGTTTGGTGAAGCTTGTTCCTTTTAATATAGAGAGAGTCTATTCATGTTTGGGAAAGTGGATAGGGAGTGGTGGGGTTGGAATAAGGGTGAGTGAAGAAGGTGAAATTTTGGAGGTAATTGAAGGAAAGTTATTAGGAGGGTTGAAATGGAAATCTATTTCTGAAGTAGAAGAGAGAGAGGATGGTGTTGTTTGGATTGGCTCTATTGATACTCCTTTTGTAGCAAATATTAAGATATGAACAATAATGCTTCTTCTTGATTAATGGTCAATTCTAAGATTGGAAATTGGAAAGATTAGCTTTGAACACAATTAAATTCAATGATTAGTTACTTAGTTATTGATTAGGAGTGTGTTTGGGTCTTTAATTTTTGTTAAGGATTTATGAGAATCAAAACGATAAGAAATCAAAATAAACGAATGATAATTAATCGGAATGATAATTTCTTATATTGTTTACTATAAATCTTTTTAATTTAGAATCATAAACTGGTATTGTTTATTTGAAATTGTAAATTGAGATAGGAATCGGATATATATTATAATTACTAGAATATATCCTTTTCTAAGTTCTAGCTAATTAATTACAAATTTGTTAATAATAATTTTTAATTAAAACAATCAAAAAAAACTTTTAATTTATTTTATTAATATAATTTATTGATAGTAAATATTTTTTATTTTAATAATTTATTTAATATTATTAAATAATAAATAATTTAATAAAATTAAAAATATTAATATATATTTTTATAGAACAATCATTATTTAAAGTATTGTTAAATTTGTGTTAGAATTTTTAATAATATAAATTTTACTTAAACAATTTGATATTTATTAATAATAATAAGTAAAATTAAATAATTGATTTTGGAGGACTAAAATAACCAATAAAAATCACTTTTAAGCAATCAAATTGATTAAAAAAATTTTTTTTAAGGAATTACTAGCTTTAATGTTGATTATTTTAAAAGTGATTCTAAAGTGATATATTGGAAAATGAAAATCACTTTAGAATAAATTTAAGATCATTTGATATTTATAGAATCATTTTTAGATATGACGGTGGAATCAATCTAAGAAAATGTAACCAAACAAAAATATATATATTATATATTTAATAAGATAATATTTTTTCAGTTAAGTTTGGTAGGTATGTCAAACTCTCACTCTAAGTTATGTTAAAGTATTTTTTGTTTGATTTTTTTTTATAACTTTTAAATATTCTATTTCAATCTTTAAATTTGGAATAAAAAATTATTTGTAATCATTGTAATTGATTTCTCATTAATTATTTTGAAAAAGAATATACGATTTACTTAAATTTAAAGACTAAACCATAACGTTTGACATGCCTCTCAATTGAGTGTTTTTGGATTCTGATATCATATTAATATTCATAGAGTTACATCTCAAAATCAATTGACGAGAGAAGTAGCTCATATCTATTCTAAGCCTTTGCTTAGGTCATTTATCTTTTTAATGTAGGATTCTTAACAAAGAACTGTGTCTGCCTTGTCTCGTACTAAGACCCTGATTTCGAGAAAGTTAGAAACAGCTGCATCCGTATTCAGTCTCATCCAACTTGGTAATAGAACTTTTATCTCCTTGCTAATCATTATTTGGTTACGTCTGTTTTTTGCTTGCAAGAGACCCTTCTTAAATATGCTAGATACGAGTGAATCCATTCGCATTTTATCTCAATACTAGAGATTTGTTTATGATGTATCTAATTATTTCTATCATTCCATATGTACCAACAAATTAAACGCGTCAAATCTCGCTCGCCTAAGTGCACGTTAGACGAAATAGAATCCCAAAAGCTTCGTCGAAACCTCATATTCGGCCAATGCACAGACTGCCAAGATGGTAAACACAAATCCCAAATTGTTTTTGCTCGTTTACAAACAGATTCCTCTTTCTTTTTGCATATAAAAGGACACAAGGGATTCACCTCAAGCTTCCTACTATATATGATACTCATTGTAGGAATGCAATTATTGATTACCTTCCATAGAAGTGCTTAACCTTGGTTGGGATCTGAATTTTCCATAAATGTAACCAAAAATTACTTCTTTTCGACAAGCTAAGCGTGATGAAGTCTTGGATACATACTCTTTACTGTATAAACTCCCCTTTTCTCGTAATGCCATATCCACGAGTCCTGTCTGTTTGAGGTACCAAGAGGGATTTTTCGAATAATGTCAATATCATCGTGGCAAAATATAGTGCATTAAGCTTACATTCATCCCAATGTCTACTAGGACTAATAAGATCTTTAACCAGCATATCAGCGAATAAAGGGGAAGGCATTAGTGGTTTAAAAGTAGTCTCTCTCAGAATCCATCCGTCAAGGAAAATCTGAATAGTTCTTCCATCTCCAACCCTTTTTTCCAAACCTTTGCTAAAAGAGCTTGATTAAACCCTTCCATCTCTAACTGAACCGTCATGATATTTTGAATTAAAAAATTGAGGTATTTACATTAATATCATAAAATAAAAATATATTCTCACATATTGATAAAATTTGAAACTTTCCAAAAATAGTACCATCCAAATTGAACTCAAACACACCATATAAAAATACTAAAAATATCATATTTCTGTTGTATTTGAAAAAAAAAATTACAAAATTTTCTAAAATACATATTATGCCTAATATAATTTCTCTATAAAAAAAAAAAATGAAAGGTAGCCCATGTGCCAGATTTTCATTAAAGGAAAAAGAAATCCTAAATGGAAATTATGGAATATTATGAAATATGAAGTTGATATTTTTCAAAAACTTTCCTTTTTCTATAAAGCCTGTTTTCTTCATCAAATTTCTCAAAAAAGAACAAATTTTGAAACAAAGATTTAAAAAAATGAAAGATAAGTCTATTTTCACAATTTTACTACCATGTCATATTTAAGTCTTAAGTTTAACAAGAAGTTGATGAATCGACGTTTTGGAACAATTTTAAAAGTTGACGAATGAATAAAAGTTAAACTTTTAAAATGATTGGGCATAATTGAAGCATGCCCTAAAGTTCAATGAAATTTTGCTCCATTTAACCTTCACCGCAAGAAATTAGATCTTTGCTGATACAACAAGTTCATCGACAAAAGTAAAATGGCATCATCGATCCTGTCGAAAAAATTGTCACCAATATTACCGACAAGAAAAGTTGATAATTTTATTTTTGTCGACCAAATTTAAATTTTGTCAGCAATTGGTATCAACCTTTTTATTATTTTTCTACAAAATTTATGTCAGAACTTGAATTTCGTCAGCAAAATAGAAATTTATTTCTTTTTATTACAAATTTGATACAATAGCAATTTATTTATTTTTATTACAAATTTGATACAATATTTAAATTTCTTTAAACCTAAATCACAATTTCATAGTAGTAAATGTATGCATATCATAAATCTATAGAGATATAGGTTAGAACCAACATTATTCTTTATTAGCATATAAATAACATCCTAAACCTTAAACTATAAGGCTTCGTCTTCATCAAAATGTTGACAAAATTTTCACGAAAACAAGCCTCAAATAATATCAAATATACTTGAAAAAAACAAAACAAATAATAGAAAAAGTTTAACGAGAAGCTCAAACATGTCAAAAACACGTTTCCAGTGCTTAAGTAACAAAAAAAACGTATTTAAAGTAAACTAAACATGTTTAACTCACCACTATACATTCTCAAAAATGTTTGAGATACTTGAGAGAAAAAAACATTTTTGAGAACGTATAGAGGTGTTATGCCTCAAACTTTAGGGTAGATCATATCAATTATGCATCGACCATTTAAGCTTTAAATTTTAAAATTGTTTCAAAACAATCATTTCATTAGATTTCCTTATTAAAACGAGGATAAAAATATAACATGATGGTGAGTAGTAAAATGAAGATTACATATATGAGCATGCGTGACAATGAGTTATTAAAGAATTTTAGTCCCAATTGAAATTATGGTGGGAGGATGAGAAGCCACGTTAGTTTTTTAACCTATATCATTATACCTATACCAATTTTTAACTTCATATTTGATTGATTATATAGATTTTAGGAGACATGACAACATGCATGCCTAACAACATGCAACGCCATGTAGGCATGCTTAAAAGGAGAGACGATCTGGCTTTGCAACATTATTTTTGGAACAAGTTTGAAAGTTATAATATTTTTTAAACAAATTTTAATGAGTACATTACATACACACACATATATATATAATTATTTATCTATTTAAAGACTCTAACATTCCTATTTCTTGTTTATGTATTTTCATTTTTAATAAAAATGTTCTTGTCTATGTATTTTCATTTTTAATAAAAATGAAATGCATGACTCCAACATTCATGTATATTAAAATAATATTTTTATTTATATTTCGGAACAAATTAAAAATAGAAAGAGAAAAACTAATTTTAGTTGTTTCTAAAATTTCTATACAACTATAAAATTTTCTGAAAAAAAAAGAATAAAAAACATAGTTAATTGTAAAATGTTTAGATTTCTTAATAAAATTGAAAACGAGAAACAAGAAACAGAAACATCATCAAAGGGACACTAAATATTTTGTTCCGAAACGGACGTAATTAAAAAGAGTTAAAATTATGGCATGAATCAATTTCTTGGAGGAAAAACAATGGGATATATGGAAGATCACCGAATTAGACAAGGAAACTTCTCTAACATCCCTTTAGAACACATGACTTATGCTCCACGCAAACTCACCCTCTCTCTCTTACATATATTATTTATTAATTATAGGAAAAAAAATTTCTCTCCATAAATTTAATTTAATATATATATAATATGGGGTGGGAGTTTTATTTTGTTGTGAATCATCTTGGAAATCTGGTTGTCCATATGGCGGGAATGCACTACAAATTCTTCCCTACAGATTTCTACTACCCTCGTCTGCCACCATCAAACTCCGGCGAGAGCGTCGGGAAGGCGGCGTCTGCGGTTCTTCCTGTGGTGACCAGAAAAGTAGCAGTGGAAGAAGCAGCAGAGAAAGAAAAAGGCAGGAAGAAGAAGAAGATTGTGAGGGCCATCATCAAAAACTGACCCTCGCTCTATTTGTAATTTTGATTTGGCTTTTCTTTCATATTCTCTTGAAACATTTGTATTATCTGCTTATTTATTTGAAATTTAGGGTCGATTCGGTAGCGTTCGTCGTTCTCGTTCATTGTTTCTTATTTTCAATTTTAATAAGAAACTCAATCATTACAATTATTCATGTTTCCCTTGTTTTTCATTTTTTTTTTTTTACATTCTCAAAATTGTATGAAAATTTTCAAAACAATAAAAACAAATTTGTTGTTTTTTTTCCTCTTTTTTTCGTTTTATATTTGTTCCAACATAAATAAAGATTTTGCCCTATCGTTTTTTAATGCATGGGTGTTGAAGTTCATGCAATTCTATTTTTCTTTATTAAAAAAGAAGAAACATAAACAAGAAATAAAAACGTCAAAAAACGGGCCAATTGCTATTTAATTTGGAGTTGCTTTCCTAATCCCTTGATGAATTTTTAATTCTCCTCTCTAATAGATTTCTAAGGTCCAGTTTCTTAGCAATTTCGTTTTTGAATTTCTGTTTTTAAAAATTAAGCTAAAAAATTACTTTCATCTAATGTGTTCTTTGTTTTTGTTTTATTATATAGTTTAATAAATATTTTCAAAATCTATGCCAAATTTTGAAAAAAAAATATAGGTCCATTTCGTAACTATTTTTTATTGTCTGATTTTGAAAATTATGCTTACGTATGTATATATATTTTCTTTGGTTTGCATCCATTTTTAAAATTTTTTAAAATCTAAATTAAAATTAAAAATATATATATATATATTTTCAGAAAAATAGTTTTTTTTTTTAAAATCTGGTTAATAATTTAAATATGTTTTCAACGTGATTAATTGATTAATAGACACATAATTGAAATCTAAGGTAAAATTTTAAAACAACCTACTAACAAAATTGACTAATAAAGTTTTAACATGCTTGTTTGATTAATAGAGGCATAGTTGAAATGTCATAAACTTATTAAAGTAAATTTATGACTAACTTATAATTTAAAATTTATTTATTAGTTTCATTATAAAGCAATACTCACATTTACAATTAAAAAAATAAGTGAAAACACTTGAGAAATTTATTATGCTTGTACTTGAATGACTTTTGAAAAAATTATTTTTTATGTTTACTTTTTGGAATAAACAGTGCTTCTCCTTGAAAGAACTTTAGGTGCTTTTTTTATTATTGATTAAAAAATATTTTTTTGTCCATATACTTCTAACAATTTAATCCCTAAACTTTAGTTTGTAACGATTTAGTCATGTAATTTAGTTATTGAACTTTAATATGTAACAATTTAGTCCTTGTAATTTAAAGTTGGTAACAATTTAGTCCCCATCATAATTTTTTTTTTTAAAGTTTATTGTGTGTATAGATTGATAGAAATATTAAATTGTTATATGATAAAATTTGGCACTTAATTTAATAAAAAGTTTTACGATGGGGACTAAATTGTTATAAATTTTAAACTACAGATACTAAATCGTTACAAGTTAAAGTTCAGAGACTAAATTATTACTTTTGGAAAAGTACATAGACTAAATCGTTACTGTAACTATATACTTTCTGACAGGATGGTTTGAACCTAGATCTTGAATATAAACACCAAAGCCTCTTACCACTATGCCAACACCCAAAGGTGCTTAAAAAGTTTAATTAATTCCTATAGTTTGAATTAATTTTTTTAATTATTCTATATGGTTTCAAACATCACAAATTGTCCACACTACTGCTATATTATTGATACATTTTTTGTCTGATAATAAGTTGATATTTTCTATTTGGCTAATTGTGTATTAGTTATACTAAAAGAATTTGTTGGTAGACCATGTTTTGTTTAGTACAATATGTGGGGTGAGAATCGAACTCACAACCTCTTGATTGGAGATAGTTATACTCGCTTTGGCGTTAGTAGACCATGTTAAGGTTTAGGGATAAGTGAAAACCGGAGGAAATAGGTGAGTTTTTGGGTGGATGAAAGATAAAATCTTAATAAGCCCAAACCATAAATTGTAGAGACCAAATTATACTATAAATCACATGGACCAAATTTGTAATCTGAATCCATTTATTTATTTATTATTATTATTATTATTATTTTGCTATTCTGTACGAATTGAAAACCATAATATCAACCCTGAAGGTTTTAGATTGACGTTGAGCCAATATCTTGATCTAAGTGTCAAAGTAAGCATAGCTCAATGGTAATTGACATATTGTATTAAGAAAAATATCTTGATCTAAGTAAGAAAAAAAATGATGTAATTGCAACGCTTTTACAAATCGACGGTTATCTAATAGTTTGTATATTTTTTAATATTTAATTTGTTTAATTGCTATTTAAATAAATTTAGGAAGTGATTGTTGAAATTGAAAGTTCATTTCTTAAAAATTTCTAAAGAGGAATTCCCCAATGTGATTTGTCTCTTAATGGTCATTAAATGTATATTAAAAAACTCTAAACAGGACGGCGACGATGTGACTATCTCTTAATAACATGCATATTAAAAAACTTTTATATCCTTTAATAATTATTAGATATAAATTGTCAAAGCGAGTATAACTCAACGGTAATTGACATCTATCAATCGAGATGTTGTGAGTTCGATCCCTCACCCACATATTGTATTGAAAAAAATTATTGGATATGGATCCGAGGTATTTTAATAATTTATCTTTCATAAATCCATATTAGAAACATTGTAGCGGCCACGTTTAATAATTTATGGGCGGTTTCTGTAATTTTTTATTTTAGAAATACCAATTCAAAATTTTCAAATACTAAATTTTAAACCCTAATTTCTATTTCCCCTCCTTCCTCTTCAATTCTCAGTCTTCCTTCTGCTGCGCCCCACCCCATCCCACCATACTGCCGCCGCCCGCCGAGCGTTACTGCCGCCGACGACGGTGAGTTTCTGTCTCCTTCTTTTACGCATTCTCCTTCTCTTGCGTTTTCTTTCATGATGGCGGAGTCTCGCTCCTTCTCTCAGTCTCAATCACGGTGAGCTTGACAATGAAATTGCTGATTTTAACATGTGATTTCATGGGATTATTACGAAGAAAAAACAATTAATTGTAGAAATAACAACAAATTTGTTGATTTTAGCGTATATGTTGACGCATATTGTTCGTCATTTACACCACTTTTTTTTAGTTTTTTAGTTTTTGGGTTTCATATAAATGATTTGTAAGTTGTTTACTTGTTAGCAATGCTTTGCAGATAGTGGACCAAGTTCTCCTCTAAGGTTCAAAGCATTTGCATTGCATCTGAGAAAAACGAGGAGAATTTAGACTGCCTTTTGGTGGCACAACTTCTGTTATTGTTCGTCCTTCAATCCACAAGATGGGAAAGGCCAAGAAAGGACCCAAATTTGCAGTCATGAAGAAGATGGTCACATCAAAAGCAATTAAGAAGTATGCCTTTCATTTTTTCTTTTCAATTGACAACTTTATAATAATATTTTTTTAAATAAATATTTTTTGATTATGTTTATTTTGTTCTTGTTACCTATCTCAGCTATAAGCAAGAGGTATTGAATCCAAAAAAAAAAGATCTTACCAAGGAGAATCTTCCAAGAAACGTGTAAGAAACTTGTTGTGCTGATTATTTTCTGCTTATTCTTTTCACTAAATTTTCTAAGTTATTAATTATTATTGAACATATTTTTTGTTTTCGACTTGTTGGCCATTAATAATTCATGCTTTTGTCGCTGTTAATTCAGTCCAAATGTCCCTTCGGCACTTTTCTTCAAGTACAACACTGCTTTGGGGCCACCTTATCGGGTTTTGGTAGATACAAACTTCATCAATTTCTCCATCCAAAACAAAGTGAGTGCTTCAGTGTTAATGAGAATATACTATATTATAACTTTCTGATCCCTGAGGAAATGTAAAGCATATTATATTATGAATATTTTTATGGATGATTTTAAAGTATATTTTCTCAATGGTTTCAACCAACAGGTGATTATTGGTAGTAAATTATTTTCTTTCAAATAATTGTATTTCTCCTCATCAATTTTCGTAATGATGAGAAAGCACTACGTCACACTAGTAGAAAGAAGGATGAAAATTTCTGTTTACATAATGACTGAAGTGGTCTCTTTCCTTACTGGTGCAGTTGGACTTGGAGAAAGGAATGATGGACTGTTTATATGCTAAATGTAAGTTGCACATTTATGGGAAAATTTTATTTTGAGAACCCAAAATATGAAAAGTTATGTTCTACTTGGACATGTGTGCTTATTTGTTATCATATTGTAGGCACTCCTTGTATAACAGATTGTGTGATGGCTGAGCTTGAGCGATTAGGTCAGAAGTATCGTGTTGCTCTTAGGTAAATTCAAGTTTCTTTGTTATTAGAATATGGATTCTATCCCTTCATTTGTTGGTACTATATACATGTATGTTCAGATGCTGTTGGAGTTGGTCTGGAGTTGGGTGATATTGTGTGTCTGTGTGTCTTTTCTTTCTTTTTTTTTTCCTTTTAAATACCCATCTTTGATTTTGTCGTCAAGAGAAATACCAACAACTTATAATAATTTGCAATTCAAGCACTAATAAAAAAGTAGATTGAAGACTTCAGAAAGCTAAAAGCAATTCCATTATTATAATGAAAAGAAAGTAAAGATGTAAAAATTTCTTGACTCCTCTCCCTGAAAATTTCTCAAGAAAATTCCAACTCAACGTTAATCCAAATAGTCTTAGCTTTACCCTTGATTTTTGAGCCGGTAAAGCCTGCTGCTTTGATTTAGATCCCACGCAAGGCTGCTGCTTTGATGGAGAAAAATCCTAAGAAGAACCTCATTTGGACTGGAAAAGGCTTGAAGGTTGGACTCATCTCATTAGTTGTACCATTGTCCCTTTGAGCTCTGAGGAAGGAGGTCTTCAGTTGGGCAATCTTCTTCAGTTGAAGAATGTGACATTGTTGTTGTCCGAGTGCATTTGGAACTTTATATTGGAGGAGGTCCTAGTGTACATAATTGTGGTTAGCCAGTATGGTTACAGATTTGGAGTCTGGTTTACAGACAGAGAAGGGTATTAATGGTAGGAGTCCATGGAACTTTATTTCTGCCTTATGTTTAAAGTGGGAGATAACAGGGAGATCTTTTTGTGGGAAAACAGCTGGGCTATGGATCAACTGCTTATGAGCGAGTACGTTTCCCAGATTATACTTGGTGCTCACTGTCTAACTCCTGAAAAATAAAACAGAATAAGAAATMAATCTCAATCAGCCAGTCTTTGAATGGATTTGATAGGATGCAGAATATCCAGTTTAGGCACCACTTGAACGGTGTGGAGTTGGTGGAGTGAGTTGTATCGTTACAGATTCTTCAAATGTTGGGTTATTTACATTTCGGATTCTTCAGAATCTGGAAAGTTTGGGTGAGTTTACTTTCTGAACTCTATTCTCTAGGTTGGTTTCCGAGAAGGCCTTATTTCTGAATCCTTATTTAAAGCAATCCGGAATACAAATTACCTCAAGGAAGTTAATTTGTTCCATTTGGTCTCTGACCTTGGGAGGTTGGAACCATTGCAGAATCCAAAGAAAGATCTGATATCTGATGTAGCATCTTTCTCCCAACTTCTATACTATCTGCAACAAGAACAGTTAAGATAATGAGCATTTTTGTCTGATTATTCCTCTAGTTGCTGATCAAGGCTTCTAATAGTGTTTCACTTCAGTTTGTGCTTCTTGAGTTACTGTCTAACGTGCTGAAGGGATGGAAAATATGCTTTGTTGGCTAGAGGAAGGATTATTTTTATTTTTATGAACAAGAAACAAACTTCTGATTGAATTAATGAAAAGGAATGAAAATGTTCAAAGATACAAACTCTCGAAAGAGTGAAAAAGAGGAAGGATTATTTAGTGTGGTGAACTCTATGTTTGGAAGCTAAGAAGCACGGACACGGACACGACAAGACACGGCGATACGTCAATTTCTGAAAAACTAGGACACGGACACGCTGGGGATACGTTATTTATTTATTATTTTTTTTAGGATATAGGTAAATTTAACATAAAAATGCTAAATATACTTCGCTAAAAAACATAAATGTTAAGTAAATTTATTGGGTTGAAGATGTACCCACTAAAAAGCATAAAAATAGTAAATGTAATCCACCAAAAAAAATCCTAGAGAAGGATTTGAATTTGATTATTGGGTCGAAGTTGTCATCCTAATTTAGTAAAACATATTCTACTCCAGTTTAATTCATATGAAATTAGGGAAAAAAGGAAGTAAAACTAAGAATAGAGCTTATTTAATTTAACTCACACAAACAGAAGGGTGGGTCACTAGGTAGCGTTTTAGGGTTTTTTTTTGTAGTTTAAGTTTTTGAGATTTCAGCCAAACTTCTTGGACTTCCAAAATTGGGCTAAGGAAACAATATTTTTTTATTTGGCGTGTCCCTCCCGTGTCCAAAACGTGTCCCCACGTGTCTGAAATTAAAATAAAAAATTTAATATTCGGACACTTTAAATTGCGCGTCGGACACGTGTCCGGAGCGTGTCCGGACGTATCCGTGTCCGACACAGACACTCCTCCTTTTTTGCCATGTCCGTGTTTTATAGTTTGGAAGATTTGATTAGGAAAGCCCAAAGAACTTTGGAGGGTGGAGGGCAAAATCAACATTTTGAAGTTGGCCTCCTCTTGAGTACTCTATTTTTTGATTTTTTTCTTCGGAGGAAATCCAAGCTTTCTCGGCTCTTGGAATCCAGTTCTAACAGAAAAATTGCTTCATTTATACAGGAGGCAGGCTCAATTTGATGAGCTCAGTTCTCCTAATTTGACTAATTGCCTTAATTTAAATTTTGGTCGAGGTTGTTAATATCCTAGATGAAGTCTTCAAAAACAGTGTGGAAAGGTGTGGAAATGGTAACATTCGTTTGGTGCACTGGAGTTCTAATTAAAGAAATCTCTTCTTTTATAAAGGAGGCAGGCTCAATTTAATAAAAGTTCATTTCTCCTAATTTGACTACATATTGCCTTTATTTAAAATATCGGTCGAGGTTGTTGATATCTTAGATGAAGTCTTCAAAAACATTTTGTAGCAAAGTGTGGAAATGATAGTACTCATTTGGTGAACTGGAAAATTGAATATCTTCCATCGTAAGGGAAGGAGGCTTAGGAAGTGGTTGTATAAAAGAAACAGAGCTCTCATTTCTTATTGGCAATGAGATTTTGTTATGGTAAAGAGCCTTTTAGATGAACTAGTGCTGACAGTTACATTACAAGTAGCCAAGTAGGAGAAGCCCATGACCTTTATTTTGAGTTGGAAATAAATCTCTTCTGTTAAATTTGCAACATACTTTCTCCCTCGGTGTGAAGGCTTTCTTGAAGAATGAGGAGTCTTTGGATAATTAGATCATTTGTTTCTCCACTATTAATTTGCTGCAAATTGGTTGCATCGTTTGTTCAAGGAATTTGGCATATGGGTTTGTCTGTCAAGTTGGATTGGGGATTTGATTGTGGAAAGTCTTGCAGGCTTTAGATTTAAGAACAAAGCCAAGGTTTTATGGAATTGTGCAGAGTGTTCTTGTTGCCTTTCTGGAAAGAGAGGAATCATAGGGTTTTTGAAGATAGCGCCAATACAGGGAAGATTTCTTGGAATAATGAACAATATACTTCATCACTGGTGGTGTGCTAATAACAAAAAAATCTTTTGTAACTTTAGCCTCCTCACGATCTTGTATGATTGGAAGGCTGTTCTGTAGTTTTTGTGGGGGTTTCCTCTACATCTACCCCTGCCTTTAGGTTGTTCAACCTATTTTTTTTCTCTTATCCAAAAAGAAGAAACATTTATTCTAATCTCTGAGGCTCCTTTGCACTTTATGCTTCCTAGGCGAGGCTATGCAATTTGACCATTTTTAAAGGGGCTTCGGTTGGACATTGCTGGAAAGAAACATGAATTAACTGGGACTTCACTTTTAGGAGAAGGCTTGTTGATTGAAGACCTGTGGAATGGATTCCCCTCAAGGTCTTTGTGGAAAGTTCCTCTAGGAGGCAAGGTCAAGATCGAAGAATTGGAAACTTGGGGTTTCTAGCAACATCTGGTGCAAATCCTTTCTTACCAAGCCTGCGACCAATTTGGTTGCTGTCTGCAAATGTAAGGGGAGGCCTCCTCTAAGAAATCAATTTTTTCCTTTGGTCAGTGGCTAAGGAGGCATTAATACTCAAGCAAGAATCTAAATGAAATATTCTAATTTTTCTTCTTTTCCTAGTGAGTTGGTTTATCCTCTGAAAAGGTAGCCATGAGTAGGTGGACTACCTTTTTTCGCACCTAGTGATGATAGTGTCCTGTAGTTAACCAACAGCCTTTTGGTTTATTTGTGCAATCCCTATAGTTTGCAGGTGACTTTGGAACAACTCCTTCATGAACACCCTTTTAGAAGTAAAGCCATATCTTTGGCTGAAAGCGGTGAAAGCTTTCTTTTGGAAATTATGGATGGAAAAAAATAAGTTAGCTTAAAAAATACTTTCTGATGGAAGATGATCTTTCTAGGAATCGTACTGTATTCGAGGCCTGAGGCCTCTCCTTGATGTTCTCTTGTCGTTTTTGTGAATACTTCCTTTTTAGAGAAGTAGCCGCTTGTTCTCTTCTTCTGTATCTCTCTGTTGATACTGATTACTATTTTTGGACTTGAGCAGAATAGCTAAGGACCCACGTTTTGAGAGACTACCCTGTACTCATAAAGGAACCTATGCTGATGATTGCCTTGTTGAAAGGGTGACTCAGGTGAGAACTCGAGGCTTTTTGTATGTGTATGTGGTTGCGTACGTAGACTTTGTTTCCATTTTCATGTATCATTTCCTTTTG